GTTTGTCCAGTTTGCTATGGAATTGCTCCAGTGAATTTCTAAATATTTTATGGATTAACTGTTAATATAAAAAAATCTACTCATATCTTTAATTGCAGCTGCCTATGTGTTTATCCAGATGCGTATTAGGCTACAGTCATGTTTATTCCTGGTCTCTCTGTGATTTAGTGCAGATTTTAGTGTTTAGTTATCAGAAGAGCTAAACTTCAAGGGCAGGGGCTGATACATTCCCTCTTTCCAAGCCTCTAATGCCATACGCCCTGAAAATGTGATCCCTCACACACCACAGACACAACCAGTGTCTCACACTTTCACCATTAAGTTCCCATATTCTTAGGTACCTCTAATGTAAAACAGGAACAAGCTCTCCTTGCTGCCTCTTCACAGAAAAAGAAGAAAACCAGTAGCTCTGGAAAGGGTTCAGGAAAATGCAGAGCAGGAAGAGCGCCAGGTTTGGAAGAGCTTCAGTGTTTTGAATGACCTTTAGTGGCTTCCTCATCTGTAGATTCTTGGCAGGGCTGCTCTGGGGCCTGGCTCTGCCCTGGCCTTGATCAAGGAAGGTTCACAATGAGAAATGTTGCTTCTCCTACAGCGAGGAGACACTGCAGTGTACAGCCTGGTCTGGCTTTCCTTTTTCAGGACAGTGCCTATTATCCAGAATAGCTACCGAGTTAGGCTGGCTTTAAAAAAAGTAATTTCAGCCAACAGGGCAGGGAAATGAGACAGCATGTGACTACAGAAATAAGGGAAGGTATTTTTATCTTGCAGTATTCCAATCCCATGACCAGTAATTTCCTTTTGTGGAGTAGTGATGAGACCAGAGATCAGATAAGTAAATAAGGTGTGACAGTGCTTCGGCAATTCTTATTTCTCTTGAATGTTCTTGCATCGAAGTTGAGCAAGTGTGCAAAGAACACAGGGCATTAACTGTAATTCAGAACAATACAACCCTCGGCCACAGAAAGCAATGCAAAGAACCAGCTGAAGATGAGGAAGAATGCTGGTTCTGGCCCTGTGTGTTTGCCATGCCCTGCACTAAGTGGCATTCCAATGTGTATTTTTGTAGGCATCCACGTGGTCTATGATCTCTCCAGAGCCCCAGGAAGCAGAGTTGTCAGCTTAGAAGTGCTTTGCACAGCGTGCAGAGTCCCAGCCTATGTCCCACTCCAGATGGATGAAATATACAATGTGACTCTGCCATCCTACATGTTATTTGGAGGAGATGGCTACAGTATGCTGAAAGACAAAAATCTGGGATACAGTAAAGGTAAGGGGGATACAGTCCAGGTAAGTATGGGCACTAACAGAGTAGGAGGCAAACAACTCCCAAAAATTAAGAGACGTTTTTACAGTCCAAACCTCAGACTTTTTGCCTATACTCGATCAAATTTGCTTCTACCCTGACAGCTCTGGCTTGCTAGATTTAGTTGTAGGCAGCAACTACATTCTTTTTCAGTTAAAACCACAAAAGTTTCAAGGAGAAACATCTTCACCAATTCAGCACTGCTCAGAGAGCAGTCCTGAGGTTGTGGTAAACCAGAAAAGAAGCAAAGAACATGAAGAGTACATATTATACAAGTGCCTTGCACTTATACTCATTACCGAACAATGCATCAGTAGGAAAGATGCTGTTTTCTATAGACCTTAAATTTCCACTGTATAGAAGGATTTAGAAAGACAAAATCTTCACCTCCACTGTTAAACGACATGCAGCTCAGGCAAACAACACAGGGTGAAGGGAAAGATGCCAACCTGCTCAAAGGGAATGAGCCTGCCCAGCCAAAACCAGGGACCCCCAGGATCTCTGCAGGCAGGAGAACGCAGGGTGCCACAGTCACCACACCACAGAGGTCGAAGAGAGGTGTTTTGTAATGCTGGTTTAAGGTCCTCTAAAGCTGCATGCAAGGTGTTAGAATGTCTGTATTTGTCCAATTGTTATCATCCATCCTTCAGGATGACAGGAAACTTGAAAAAAATTTGAGATTAAAATCCATTATTTCTGAAAACACAAAAGGGGTGTAGTGCTGTATTAAAAAAAATGTCTCATAGGAGCCAATCTACATTTTTGCAGAACTTTAATTTTGTATGTTCTGCTTGTTCATGGTGAAAGCATGCTTTTACCTCAAAAATTTTACTTTTGGACCTTTGTTACAGGCTATTTTTTTGTTTCTACAGGTAAACTTTAAATTTAAAGTTGATTCTCACAGGTACAACTGGCGTTTCAAATCAAGTTCAGCAAAACTTGATTTAAAACATCAGCCCTACTTGTGAGACTGAGAAAGATCATTAGGAATAGTGAAAGGGAAACAACCTGTAAGATTCTGGTAAAGTCTTTCAGTACAACAGAAGGGTAAAACTGTAATTGTTCTTAAGATGGAGGATTACCCTTTAGTATTTTAAGAGTTTGGATGAGAAGGGGCTCATTGCATGGTTGGTAGCAGTGACTGAAAAGGGCTTCCCGTTGTAGAAAATCCATGTAATACCTTGTGCTTGTGTGCACACAAGCAGTGCCAAGACTAGAAACTTCTCCTAAAAAAAGTAAATTTGAAAAAGTGTAAGTGATAGCTTTGCCAGGTCTACAGCTCTATACACCAAACAGGTGGGAGACTATCTCAATCTGACTAGAAAATACCATTGTAACAAATTCAAAACAAGCCAGACAAAACAAAACCAATTTGTTTGTTTTTAAAATAAAAGTTGCTGCCAAGAATTCTGGCTACAAACCCCCACAGGTGATATGTGCTGATTCAGAATGGCAAACCATAGAAAACAATTTGATTCTTGAGCTAAAACTGAAATTTAGGCAAGTTCTTACATTTTGGTTAAGAGCTTGAGATGCAGAGAATGCTTTTTTGTTTCTTTAGGTGAACCTGATGTTGAGGTTGTTTCCCGCTACCTCCAGAGAATGAAGAGAGTTTACCCAGCAGTTGAAGGTCGAATAAAATTTTCTTCTGGAAGTCTTATTGAAGCAAGTCTCACCCTGATATCTGTATTGTTCACTGTAACATTCTTGCACACTTGATTTTTTGTTTGAAGGAATACAGGAGGAGAGATGATAGTGAGGAAGCTGTAAGAGACCCGTTCTCTCCTGTTACACCTTACAATGAATGAGCAGTGAGGCTGCTGCACGTCAGCAGTGAGCAGCCCCCTGCCTTGTCTTTAACCTGGTGGTGCCACTGGAGCACTGTGTGCAGGGCAAGGGGGCACAACCCATGACTTCTCTTGGTCACAATCAGCAGGTACCTGAAATTGAGGTCTCAAAAGCAAAGTTCCAGCAAATACTTACTGCTCAATCATAGAACAGAGACAGACTGAAACAGAGTATTGTAAATTGTCAAATTCTTTTAGCTGTTTAGACAGTGAGATAAGAACCTGATTCCAGACGTAAACAAGCTTCAAGAAATGGATTTATTATAGATGTATATTCCTTTCTCTGATCTACACTCAGGGTTAAGGTATTCAATATAATATCTCTACTTTGCTTTTAGTTATGTTTATCATACCTACATGAATGCCTGAAAGAGCTGGATTAAACTTGGTGCCATTAAAATAATGAGGTCTATTTAATATGCAGTTTTAAAAAGTTTTACTACTGAAAAATAAATATCACACTTTTATTTTCCATTAATAAAGGATGCAATGAAAGCTTGACTTGATTTTGACCAATTTTAACAAATTGAGTATTCTTCACTCTTAAATATGACAAATTTGGGGACTGTATCTAGAATGATAACACAATCTTTGACTGTATTTCATATAAGTATGCTCAATTCTAGACCTCTTCCAAAGAACAAAGCACAGGACTGCTGCCTGTTACTCTGTATTAGCAACATTCCAAGAAAATGTCAGATACAGGTATTGACTCTTGCAGCACTTTTGGCATCCTTTGGAAATAGTCAGGTAATGGGGCTTTTTACAGCATAACCTGGCTTTATGATAACTGTGATTATACCTCTTCTATGGGAAGGCTGTGTTTAAAAAAATAGTTGTAAGAGACAGGCTAATAAGTATGAAATCATATTAAATGCCAAATGTACATTGCTGATGCTTTATCAATAAATTATTGTTTATAAATGAGGGCAAAAATATAATTATTTTTCTAAGATTACTGGGAATTTTGACATCAACATGTTTGGGTTGTTTAATGCTGTTTCAAAATTATTGTTTTGAATAAACCTGCTATGTTTCCCTGGAAAGCTCACTACACTCTTTCAACACTGAAGATACTTTCCTCTTCCTTTCATTGAACCTGTAGATTTCAAGAAGGTGCATTAAGATAAACATTCAGGATGCTGAAATTTAAAGACCCCATTCATTTCCACATCCATTCAAGGGCTGCTCCTGAAAGGCTCTGGACTACACAGCTGGATTAGGTAAGGGATGTAGAACAGGGATTAGGTAAGGATGTAGAAACGACAACTGACCTTGTCACACTGTGAGTTATATGCCCTGGCATTGATGATTTGTCACTTCTACTCCCCAAGTTGTTAATTTACAGAATGGTCTTCTCTCATCAATATCACACCAGTAACAGAGAAGGCAGTGACAGACAGGGCTGTGCCTGCACTCTGATTCTGAGAGTTGCAACAACTGCTTTGGCAGAGGCAGAAAGGAGAGAAATAACACTTTTACCTTCCTTTGACAAACAGAAAGGAAAGGTCTGCAACAGTAATAGAGACAAATTACACTGACAAAGGACAGCAATGCTGCATTATATTGGTTTGTTTGTAAAAAAGGAGAAAACAGGTGTTTGAAAAGAAAAATTAAGGAATGCCTATTTAAAGCAACTCTGTACTCTTCCGCAAGTAAAACTTGTTATAAACCCACAAATAAAAGTCCTTTTCAAAATGTCTTCTATAAAGGCTGGGCCAACAAATAAAGACTTAGAAAAATCTTCCACACATTTTTATATGAATGATTTTTATAAAATGCTGTGAACAGACTCACAGCCTCTTTTCTAAGCCTGTAAAGAGGATGTCAGGAAGAAACCACAAAGCCAGATAAGAAACTGCAAAAAAAATTTTTTTCACATCCATTATTATATTTTAAGAGGGCTTTAGATTTGAAGGTCAGATGTTAAAAAGACTGAATTACAAATGTCATTTTCCATGCTCACAGAAAGGTGAAGGCTAAAGACAGTTCTGAGATTAATTATTTGTATGTAATAGATTCAATCATACACTTTTGTTTGAAAAAAAATATTTGTTAAGACACTTTAACTTAATGGCAACATTCTGCAACTTCTTTCAAACAGTTTTTCTACGTATACTTTCAGGAAGACATCCAGTAATTGCTCTTTTAGCAGAGCATAAGTTGGCTGATTGCCCAGCTATCTTTTTTGATGTTATCCTGTAATTTCATTCACTGAGAGATTTGGGGGAAATTAATTAGACTTTTACTGGTAATAGCTAAAACAAATTTTAAATTAAAGGTAAAAATATTTTATTTACTTGTAATTGGTATTACATTTTAATGTCTTTATTGCATAAAGGTATTTTTTGAACTTAAATCTCATGTTATTTACAACAAAATATACAAGGCAATGTTAAAACGTCACATGTCCATCACAACAGTGCACAGCAGATCCTACTGGGTGTCCACTCACATCCAACTTGACACAGAGCTTGCTTCCTTTGGACCCTGTCAAACAGGAAAGGGAAAAAATTACTTATTAAGTTTAAAAATGTGTATTTACACAGAAATTACTGAACTGAGCTGCAATGATTAATGGTATCTGAAAAAATCCACTTGAAACCAGAGTTATGAGAATGGAAAGCTACCGGGTTTTAATATGATTTCTCAAAATAGGTGTTCTCTTCTTTCTCTAAAGTCCTTACCTCCCCCATTACTAACTGCTAAATACAGTTTTCCTAACATAGTAATTTTCTGCTCTGGAAATAGTACTGGAGAGATAATTTTTCAATTGGATTTCTTTCCTTACTCTGCCTGGAATGCTTTTTCCCTCTCAGCTGTCCCTTTTCCTTGTATCCTGTCTGACAGACTCCCAAGGGACTGGCTGTACACTATCTCAGGGGAGATTTTCAGCTCTTGAAGCTTGCTGACTTAAACACGCTGCCATCAAACACAGCACACATCAAGGGATCCCGCCCATATCCGCACTGGTACGTGCAGCAGGAACTACCTTCAAGATACCAATCTCAAGACTGGGAAGCAGACTGACATCCCCACTAAGGAAAATCTTCCCATTTCTCCCATCACTGTTTTCCCTGCCCCAAAGGAGCAGTCCTCAAAACAAAACCTCTGGGATGCTCAATTTCCCCTTTACAAGCTGACTGGCCAGAAACATTTTTCCATTCTCCACTGTAACTACAAAACATTTTGGTATGAAGCAACTCAAAAAGGACCATTCAATGCTGAACAGAGAGAACAGGCAGTGGACTGATTCCACCCAAAACATAAATGCATGGATAGCTAAGTAAGAACCAATCATTACTTTTAAACTTCCCCAGTGCAGTTGTTAGGAAGAAACAATTCTCTTTTCAAGTGGCTTCACAGTGACAAGTGTTTGCAGTAATTTTGGGAAAATGTTTTTAGGGCTCTAGATGAAAACCACTGCCCATCCCTCCACCCACACCCTCTCCACCTTGCATTTCCCCTCTCAGTCCTGGTACACCGACAACCAGGTTCCACTGCCAAACATCACAGATGCAGTACTTTGCTCTGTATTGCTCTCAGTAAATAGCTCAAGTTCCCAGCTGAAGTATTTTTCTTGCTTTCCCCTACTGAATTCAGGGCCAGGGATTCCCTTGCTCTGTCCCCATCAACTTCAGTCACAGAGGACAGGGGGAGCCCACCCCTCACCCATTCCATTTCACCAGGAGCAAAGGTGGCAGTAGGAGGTCCCTCCTCAGCAGGTGGTTATGAAACACTGCAGAGCAGCTGGGCAGTGCCACAGTTACTCAAGAAAAAAGAATAGATGAAGAAGTAGAAAACAAGATCTTGATTTACCTTGAATAATCTTCCTCTTGATTTGTTTTTGAAGGAAAAATATTTTTCCCCATTAAATATACACAGCTATGAAACCACATTATGGCTGGGGTGGGAAAGGTGCCTCTGGAGGTCACCTGGTCTAGACCTCAAGAAGGGCCACCTAGAGATGCTCAGGATTATGTCCAGGCAGCTTTTAAATACCTCCAAGGATGAGCATCCCTGGGCAACCTATGACAGTGCTTGGTCATCCTCACAGTGAAGTGTTTCTAGATGTTCAGAGGGAACCTCTGGTGTTTCAGTTTGTGCCTGTTGCCACCGGTCCTATCAGTGGGAACCACTGGTTCTGTCTTCTTTGTACCATCCCCTCAGTATTTACAGACATCAATAAGACCCTCTGAGCTTTCTCTTCTCCAGGCTGAACAGTCCCTGCTCTCTAGCCTCTTCTCATAGGAAATATACTCCAGCTCTTTCATCATCCTCACGGCTTCTCCACCAGATTCACTCCAGTATATCCGTGCTAATCCTGTACTGGGAAGCCCAGACCTAGACACTCCAGATGTGGCCTCACCAGTGCTAAGCAGAGGGGCAGCATCACCTCCCTTGACCTGCTGGCAGCACTGCTCCTGCTGCAGCCTGGAATACCATCAGCCCTTAGTTCAGCTTAGTGTCTTTCCAGCTTGCTGGCCCCTAGCCCATCCTAGCACCTGGGTCCATTCTTCCCTAAGAACAAGACTTTGCACTTCCCTTTCTTAAAGTTCATGAGGTTCCTGCTAGTCTATTTCTCCAGCCTGTTTAAGTCCCTTTGGAAGGAAGCATGGCTCTCTGGTGTATCAGCCACTCCTCCCAGTTTTCTGTCATCATCAGGCTTTGCACTCTTGTCCCATCATCCAGATCATTAACAAAGATGTTAAACAGGACTGGAGCCACAACTGACCCCTTGGATAACTCTGTCATTACTGGCCTGCCTCCAACCAGACTTCATTGCACTGACCACCACCCTCTGGGCCTGACTGGTGCTTTAAAGACTATTTAAATGCCACTTTTTTTCCATAATAAACTGAAGAAGACCAGTGTTCCAATAAATACATATAATTAGCTGTTGAGATACAAAACTCAGTTCAGCTGAGTAAAATAGCAGGGCTAAGTCAGGTCTTTTTCTCTGCACTCAGGTTCCCAGGCTACTTCCTTGTTCCCCTGGTCAGCTGCCTGAGCATTGGCTTGAGGAGGGCAGCTACAGAGCTGAAGCACAAAGTAGGTCAGACTTGCTGAGCCAGCCTCATTTCACTGAAAACAATGCAAGTGCTCTGGCTTGTGCCAATATCTTGTATTTGTTTCTGTTTGTCATGCAAAACAAATCACTGCTGGCACTCTGCAGTTGTCAGGCACAAGGCTCATACAAGGAACATTTATTGTTAGTGAGGGGGTTTTTAAAATTTGTTTTGGGATTTTTTTTTTACTAGCTAACTAGCAGGTATTTTCTGCCTGCCATGAAGACCAAACTGTAAAATTGCTATGTAAAAATCTGCCAAGGTTTGATATACACAAGAACAAATGTCAGACAGATCCCAAACCTAATGATATGCATTTATATAGCCATTTCTCTTGTGCAAATTCTTTCTACTTTATCTGGAGAGCTAAAGTTAACATTGCAGTGACCAAAGTAGAGGTAAGAAATCCTCCTGCCAGTATTCTCAAGAAAAATGCTGCAGTTTTGCATGCAGAATTCCCTTCCTAAATTAGAAAATACATAAAATAGACTGGAGATAAATCAATCAAAGAGAAAGGCACAGAGATCCTGACTGCTGGTTGATCTGCCCAAGTCTCCTGAAAGGCAACTTGGACTTGTTGCATGCTAAACAAATGGGCTCAAGCTGATTTGGAAAGAGCTAATTAGCCAAAAAGCCAATTATTTCAATATATTGGAAAACACATATTTTCCCCAAAATTTAGAATTAATATTTGTAATAGAGAACAATAGCAAAAATGTACCAGTGGCCAGACTCAGTAGCAGCTTGAAGAATTCTGCAGCTCTCAAACAGAGGTAGCACATACCTTAATCAGCTCTGGAAAGAGTTCTTGAATCCCAATGTCCAGCAGAACGTAAGTTAACTAAAAGAAAATACAGAAAATTAAGGGCACTCCAAGGCAAAACTACTGCTTTTTATTCTTAGTTCTGAGTAAGAGCCCACTCCTCTGCTATATCAAATATTCACTTTAGGAAATCCTGTGCCAGAAGGCAAGTTTGTCACATGTAATGAGTTACCTGTTTATTGAGCACTGGCTGCTGCAGTCCATCAAACAGAAGCCTGATGCCTTCATATTTAGCCTCTTCCCCAATGCACTTGCCTATTAAATCTAGACCGAATTCCAAAAACAAACACACAAGTCATGAGGAAGTGCTGCAAAGCAGCTTTATGATGCAGTTATAGAACAATTAATTAACATGAAAAAACCTGTTTGGAGTTCAATTTTTTTCTGTCTCAATTAGTAAATGGAAAAAGCCTCATACTTTTGGGTTCATCTGTGGAAACCCAGAGCACCAGGAATATTTCTCTATCTGCTCTAGAGTATCCTGACCCCCAGGGGAGCACTGACTTTGACCCTCATTCACAGAGAAAACTTCCAAAGACTCAAGGTAAACTAGAAACAACAAAAGTGTGAAATAGATTTTAGAGATTGTAGAGAGTAGTGTAGTATGTCACATGGGTAAGAAATTTAGGTTTTAGGATTTTTAGTATGTTATAAATGGGTTCAAGATAGAGGATATAAGCTGTTGTCTTGAGTTCATTTTACTTCCTTCTTCCTTTGTCTTCTTGAGTTTAAGTAGTATCTTGTAATTGAGTAAAAAAATCCACATTATAGGTCTTTAAAGGTCAGTTATTAGGTTAGAAAGGAAAATATTTTAAGTGTCACTTCTTAATTGAGTATCTTAGTTTTTAATTAGACTTAAAAGGCCTTATAACAAGAGATTGTTAACTATTTTTGCACTGTTTTTCCTGCACGCAGAGTCTGGTGCTGACAGTGTGCTGAAGTTTTGATAACAACAAACAAAAGCTAAAGACTTAAAAAGTCCAATGCATCTCTCATTCCTAACACAAAACTGCTCCAAGAGGGTCTCTCCTACCAAGGGAATCCCCAAAGAGTTGCCCAACTTAAGACCCACAAACTCACATTCATCCTTTTCTCCTTCCTTTCCTTCAGGGCTCCACACCCAAATAATTACTACACTTTTTGTAGTATCAATGTTTTGTTCTAATGCACTGTTTAATAAATCACAAGTGTATTTCAAAAAATTACTTTAATTAAATGGGCCCCTTTCCTAGTTTATACAGTGCAAGGATAACTCAGATGTACCTTCCAGCTTAATGATGTGCCTCTTTTTAACACAGTTTTCATCTGGATAAAATACAAACCATAGGAACATTCAAAAGATGAAAAATTATGGTACTATGTTAATGTATAAAGCTCTTGATTTCCATCACCATGTCTTTATTAATCACTATGCTACAACCTCAGTCAGCAACACTTAAATGACAAAACTTGAACTGCTGGGTTTTTACATCTGGTATTCCAGTAAATCTCAGCAGCCCAAGTATTATTTGATTTGGAAAGACAGTGTGACTGTGTTTGGGTTAAATATGTGCTTGAACAATTAACCACACTCATACAGGCAGTCATGGAATACAGAACCTGGAATGTATCTCATCATTTCTTCAAAAGTCTGCTTGGCTCGTTTCTGTTTATCCTGGAGAGAGCGAGGCTCAGTGTTCTCACAGAACACAGCATCTGCAGTGGAGACATTGAAAAAAAATGTACCTTTAGGCAGCTACACATCACTGACATAGAAATATGTTTTGGATTGTGGCTTCAAAACTGAATTTCTTCTCTTTATTGATTAGAAGGGAATTCTAATCTTGTCAGATAATAATGTTTGCTTACCTTAGCCTGATCAAATCCAGAATACCCCTCCTGTTTGAAGGACAATCATCTTTTCACAATTTGTTTCCATTCTTTTCTAAGTTTAACAAATTCTCTTTAAAGTTTTGATCAATTCCATTTTAGGTTAGCTATGATCTTCTTAATCACAATTTTCCTCAAGCTTTCAAAACTATAAGCAGTATTTACACCTTGTGCTAAAACACTATCTGGAACTGTCAAAAACTTCAAATTTACCTATGAAGGAGAAAGCAAGTACTGCTATTCTTCAGAAATAACAGGTGCTCAGTTTTGGTTTTAGGCTCTGAGAGTCTTACTGCACTCCTTTTCTGTCTTTCACAAGCTTCATTTTTGGTTTGATAAGGACAGAGCTGTCCTTACTCCAGAGTTTTAGCCAGATGCATTGTTTGGATCAGACTGTAGTCACGTAATACTCTACAGCTGTGAGGTAATTAAACATTTTTTTTAGTTGCTCTTCCCTTATTTGAAGGTTGGGAATATTCAAGCCCTCTCAAGAGCCAACCACAACAAAGGGAACCAAAAAATTAACAATAAAAGACTGATGTAGTACACAAGTAAAGTAACTTAACAACTTAATGAAACATTTGTGTTGATACAATAAACCATTTTATTCTGTTTTTCTTGTTCTTTGCACGCCTCGGCAAATTACTATTCATAATACTTTTTTTCTGTAATCATCAATGACAGACAATATAGGTGGCTCAACATCTTTCCATAATAAGCTTTGAAGTTAGTCCAGGCCCACTTGATTTTTGATACTCCACCAGTGTTAGTCAGCATTGCACAGTTCAGCACTTGGAAACTTCACTGACAAAGACCAGACTAAAGCAGCATTTTTTCACCACAGATGTAACTATTACTGACCTCTCAGCAGTGTTATCAGAGAAACCAACCGGTGCTCCTCAAATAGCTGTTCTAACTTGTTATGCAAGTAATAGTCTGTGTACAGTTCCATTGTGTTTTTGAAGAGAATTCTTCCTCCCATCAAGAGATGATGCAGCCAGTCAGGAATATGGAAGACTACCCTACCTGTAAAGTCACAGCAACATCCATGAGTAGGAACATATATGAGGGTCTCCTACTATTCATAACAAAGGAATCATTTATTCAAAATAAAAGAAAAATATTGCAAGCAAGAAAAGAATATTTCAGTTTTGTTAGTGCAGCACTGAAAATATCAGTATTCTCCACAGTGCTTATCAAATGTTTCCTTTAGCTATTTATATTAATTTAACAATTCCAATTCCCAGAGTCTACCAGCAGCCTAGGTAGACCTGAGAAAAGGGATGGGATCTACTCTCATAAACTCATACTACTGAGATGCAGAAAGATGGAGACATAACAAAAGCAACTAAGCAAAGATGAATGATAAATGACATTTTAGCACCACAATAAAGTCTTCTAAGAAATGACCACGTTACTAAGTTGTATATTAGCTTTAAAGTGTTGAGTTATATATGACTGCTACAATAGGATTTCATTTCTTACCAGAGACTTCATATTTGTCATGAAGAATATGAATACTTAAGAGAAATCACTTCTTACCAACATACATTAAGTAGTCATAGACTCCTTCTACAGTCATCATTTCCAGGAAGTAGTTCTGATTTTGTCGTCTTTCTGTATTCTCAGACCGGTTTGCATTATTCTTGAATAAATCATTAAAAAGCTAAAAACAGAAACATAAGACTGAAACCACCACATTCAAGGGCAAAAGGATAGCCACTAGATCTTTGGATTGGTTTCTTTTTATAAAAGCAGCTTCTTTCCAGAGCTTTCAAAGAACTGATCAGGGCATTGATTTGTTTAATTGTTTCTGGTTTTGTTTCTTCAAATCCTTCACTTTCCAATAAAGATCACATCACATGTTGCCAAGATACACAACAACCAAAATACCCGGGTTCACAACAAATCAGCACTGAGACATTAATTCATGAGCCCTTCTGCTCCCACTACCTTCCTCCAACCTAAACAATTATATGATTGTATGCATCTAGACATTTATCACAGGCTCTGATTTCCTTGATGCACCCTGTTCTGAAAATGAGGGGCTAAGAGGATACAAAGCTTGTCTGCCTTTAAATCACAAGGGAAGTCTACAACATCAAAGTATTCCTAAAAGCTCCTGTTGGTTTCCACTTTGAAATAAATACAATGGTTTCTAGACAAAATATACAAGTTTTTTACATAGAGAAATAGCTTTTTCCCCTGCCAGTTTAATTATTTATAGTAAATCATCATGAACTAATATTTGGATTTCTTTCCATTTACCTAATTTCTCAATTATATTCCTTTAGCCTGCTATTCTCCTATGTCATCACCTTCCTCCCTGATCCCTTTATTGTCTTGCCTTTGATTCTTTCTGAAAAGATACTCTAATTCTTGGAAAACTTCAAAAGGCTCTTCTCTGCACACCAAAAGGGGTCCCAAACCACCTAGGCAGCACTCCTTGCCTCCCCTGTCCCCAGGTCTGTGAATCCTAAGAGAGGGAAAGGAAAAAGTCTCTAAATCCTGATGCTTTCCATGTTTCATATCTAGCAATCCCTACTAACAGTTTATTTTAAATTAATTTACCCCCAAAATAGTTAATCTAGATGTAAAATAGGATTTATACAAGAAACCCTATTATGAAAAGAAAGTTCAAAAGTTCATGCCACAGTTCTAAAAAAAATGCTGGAACTAGAAGCAAGTGCAACATAATCACAGAATTGCCCAGGCTGAGGTGATTGCCAGTCAAAGAGGTTTTTTTTACCACTCGCAAAATAACATAAATTCCAAGGAACAGGAAGTAATTTGTTTATATATGGTTCACTTTCTGTACTGCAATTCTCCCCAAAATAAATAAAGCCGAAAACACGCAAGTTGCAACACCACACAAGTCTCTAAACAGAATGATTTGCACTCTTAGGAAAAGTTACATCAGGACATCTGGCAAGAGTCAGGTTTTTGACCTGTACTCCTTCAAGTCCTCTGTTTTGTTAGGTGCTGAGGTACTGCTATTACCTTCTCAAGGTTCATTCAAACTAAACAACACCAACTTATTACATAAATTACACAGAAGGGCAAATATGGTTAATGCACTTATGGATGACTGGTATTCAGGAATGTAACAAACCTAAAAATAACACATAATTATTCACACCTACTTTATGGAATCATCCCTGGTAGGTTGCTTAAAAACTCCGTACAAACTGAAGTCTACATCCTCCTTAATACTGAAACCAGAACAGCAGAAAAACCTTAGCTGTAGTACTGTAACTTGAACAAGAGCCTCCTTTATTTTTTAGATACATCTGACAAAGGTGATAAATACTGAGTCAACTCAAAGCAGCCAATTGTGCAATGTAGACATAGGTTCAGTGTCTGGAGGCCAAACTAAATCATTATCAGCAATCTGGTAGGTAACCTATAAAAAAATTAAACATGTAGGCCAGCTTAGGGCAAAGCTTTTTGACTTTCAAGTGCTACTTCCTCTTTTACTCCAAACCAAAAGCATCATCTGAATGCTGTCTGTACCACCATACACAGCACAGGATCTGTGCTGCACCTTAAACAGTAATGGTTCCTTGATCAGAGGCACACTTTGAAAGCATTTCAGAATGCAATCTACAATGCACTGCAGCAGCCATAATACAAAGTGGCATTAGACCTCTACTTCCATGTTTTACCCTTTTCAGTATCTTGGCTCGGAAGAAATTCAGGTGAAAAACACACAACTGGTTATTTAGCACAGAAATTGAGATTATACTCACAATTCAGAGAAGCACAAGATTTTGCTTTAGATGTTTCTATGCATGTTAATATTTGAGACTAACACCATGAACTTCAATACTATCATTATTAGTATCTTTAGGATTAGACAATAATAATGATTGTAACCATGAAATATTCTTAAAAAAGAAAGGCTTACAATGAAGAAATTCCATGAATTAGTATTGATTAATAATGGGAGCCAAGCTCTTGAAGTCAGTGAAAAATAAAAGGCCTGTATGAAGAAAAAAACCAAAGTAATCCCTTGTACAATATGCTACCATGCCTTATTGGGAAAAGTAAGCAAAGGAAGCATGAATGCTCATATAAAGTGCCTCACAGAAAAAAAAAAAAAGTTACTCAATGTTAAGTGCATATGCAAACACACACCCATACATTCCAGCACAGGTGTGAACTGTACAAAAACAATACCATGACTATGAATAATATCTACAGCCAGAGGCATAAATGTCTCTCCTGTTCTTCCTCCTCATTTAAAAAGTATAGAGGATTATACCAAAATAATACAAAGAAAGATTTTATGCAGTGTCTGAATCATATCAGTCAGTGTAAGTGACCACGTCTTCCTCCAAGTAGCTACCCAAACACATTTGTAACACTGCTGGTGTTCCAAAAACAGCTTTTATTGCTGTTGGCAGGTCATCACAAGCCAGCAGAACAACGCCTTTATTGGCATATTTTGCAAAGTCTGCATCGGCTGAAAAGTCATGACCTATTATAGCAAGTCTGACAAAAGTATGTTCAGAAGGCGATCAAGCTGCTTACAGACCTTTGGAATGAAAACATGGCCAGAAATCCTGCTAGTGCCCCTAGGAGGGGGAAGCAGAGCTTTTTGTGCATTTGCTTTTTTTAACCTGGCAGGTTGGTAACTCTTATTCTAGAGCATGCAGATCTGTCAGAGCATTAGGCACGTTTCTGACTGGGCCTGCTCGGATAGATCTTCAGGCATTTCTTAATTCAGCCTGCTGAGGAAGAGGGAGCCTGCAGATACCCCACTCATGGCAGCACTGGGGACCATGCATTGTAATCTCAGCACAGTCCAACATGTTGCAACTGAAATAAACTGATCCATGTCAGAAAAGACACATGAGAATACGGTGGCAATACAAGCATAAGGTGGAAATTTACTGCCATTTACCAAAAAATTGAAGATCTCTCTTGCTCTGAGATAATGTTCTTCTCACAAATGGGCACTCGGGAAGTGCTAACCTTTCATCTCTTTGGCTGCCTGCCAGATCCCCACACAGGCTCCATACAGACAGCTCACACTGTCCTGGTACAGATGTTTGGCATTCACCTCCTTCTCCAGAACTGAGGTGCCTTGCTGCTGCACAGCAGTTACAGAATCACAGAATGGACTGGCTTGGAAGGGACCTCAAAGATCATCTAGTGACAGCCCTCTGCCATGGGCAAGGACACCTTCCACTAGACCAAGCTACCCAGAGCTCCATCCAATCTTGCACTAAATACTTCCAGGAATGAGGAATCCACAACCTCTATGAGCAACCTGTTCCAGCACCTCACCACCCCCACAGTTACACATTTTTTCCTAATATCTAATATGAACCTACTCTCAGTTCCATTTCCCCTTGTCACTAAATGCTCTTAAAGTCTCACTCAATCTTTCTTGTAGGCTTCCCTCAGGAACTGGAAGGCTATATATCTGCACAAAGATGTCACGTCTCACAACATAAGTGAAAGTGCAGAACTGAACAGCTCAACTCTATGCCACACATATTTGAAGAGTAGGAAAGTGTGTTACACCAGTCTGCCTTTGGTCTGGCCTTTGAACTGAACACCGTCAGTGTCTGCATTCCTAGACAGCATTTTCCAGCTTGGCTTCATTTGAAATAATGTTAGTTTATGAGTTCTAAGACAGCTCCCTAATATGAGAGAAAATGTGTGATTAATTTTCCCCACTTCTGTAAAATGGGAAAGGAACATGACTTACTGTACCTTCTTGTTATTTTCAGAAGTGGGACTCAGAATGGTAAGTTCAGGCCTGCTTGGTTTAGGCTTGGGAGATTCACAGGAGTTGATAAAATTCATGATGAATGGCTCCAAATGCTGACCTTTCTGAAAAAAAGTTATGAGTGACCTGTCACTTGCATAATTACAGGAAAGTGAAAACAAAAACAACAAAAAACCAAGAATTTTCAAGAAAAGTTTTGATTAGCCTGTAACTCGGTAATCTCATAAAATTAGCTAATGAAGTTAAGATATTGGCAACCTGAAAGACTTACCTCTTTCATCAGCTTTCCTGGAACAGATTTTATGATTTTACCTACAATTAGAAAGAAAGAAAGAAACACCTTCTGTTATCTCTATCTGATTTTAAATACATTTTGCCCTGATAGATTTGATGTACTCATTGTCTTGTAGTTATTTTAAAATACAGTAATTTTTTTTAAATCTGCTTGGTTTTATTTGATTTGGCATAAAACCCTAAGAAAATAGTCTTGCACTTAACCAGCTTGTAACCTATTAATTATTACTCTTCAAGAAAAGATGCTTAGAAATATTCAGGTTAATAATATTAACCTGAATACTTAAAAAAAAAAAAAAAAAACCACAATAAAGTACTATAGTAGTAAAGTGCTACCACTTAACTATTCTAGAGTTTAACCTAAATAGCCCTAACACTGTAAAACTGCTAGTACTGCTACAACACCAACACCAGTACAGGCAAAATTCCTTGTACTTAAGCTACTCATAGAATCATAAGCACTTATCACAGAAGAAATCAAGATAACTAGATTCTCCTCTTTCTGTGGAAAAATCAGCAAATCTGGAGAGATTCTATGGGGAACCAGCCTCAAAAACCCTGGTGAGTAGAATTTTCTAAATCAGACAGGTTACGGCCATGGCTTTAATGATCAGCTCTTGTGTCCTGATAAGGCTATCAGGATATGGCACAGTAATTTTGAATGCTGAAAAATGAAAGTGTCTAGGACTAGTTTTAAGCACTACAGTTACAGTAATATTTTTCTTATCTACATGTCATTAAATATGGAATTTACATCAGAAAGTATGCACAGAGATCAAATGGAAATAATAAAAACTCTCCTTCTCACAAAAAAGCCCTACCAAAATGCCAAGACTTGTTATAATGCTCTTTATGGAAGTGAAGCACGGTCTCAGATAGGAAATGCATTACAGTAAACACCATAATTATAAGCTTTTATAAGGATGCATGGTTCACTCTAGAAGGGAGACCCAAAACAAAATCCAAACTTTTTGACTGGAGGCTGAGAACAGAAATCTCACTCAACAACTCATGAAGCAGACCAAGAGAAGGGCTGCCTTAGCAGGACCACACCGTGAGTGGGAGGTGCAGAGATGCAGCAGCGCAGCTCGGACACAGCTCTCTGGGACCACAGCCACAAGTGGCACAAGACATGGAGACAGCATGGCCATGAAATTGACCTGACCAGCTCAGGCACACTATTCTGAGACAGCTACATTGCAGCCAAGTCATACTACGGTTTTCTTTTTTGATTTATTAAGAACTACTGTCATTAGACATTAGATCTTCTCAATTTCCATTTGACCTGCCTCTATCACACACACAGATTCTATTAAGTAGCTCTATTAAGTATTATGTTAGAAAGGATCTTAATATCAGCTAATACTAGAAATATCAAATATTGGAATTTTCAGAATAAAATAAGAGGAGTTTAATTAATTAAAATCCAAAGTTTGTACGTGTCGTTTTGTAAGTGTTCATGCCACCTCATCTGCCCATGATGACAGACACATTCCAATTGGACTTGTGACAATATTGTAAATTTTCTTGAACTATGCAATTTATTAACAGAAACCTTATCTTGCTTGTTGACACGAAAATTCAAAAGCCACTTAAGCAAATTTTTCCAAAACTTCAAAATGTCTTTTTTCTTCAAGGAAGAAGCATCAGCATATCTTCCTTGCAGAGCTATAATTTTAGGGGTTGTGAAGGAGCAGAGTTATCTATTCATTACTACAGTCGATAACAGAATCACAGAATTCAATCACAGCATTCCTATTTGTCAGCATAAACAAGTAGCATATTACATACCAAGATTCACATCAGGCAACATTTTATCAAGAAATTGAGTCTCTCCTCCGTTAGGGGATAGGAAGTCAGCTAAAAGCTGGCTGTTACTTAGTTCTGGATGTTGCAGAAGTTTCTTTGAAACAGAAGGAACAAAGGAAGTATAAGTACTTTAAAACCAACCTTTAAAAAAATCTGTTTCTGTATAGTAATAAGATATTCAAAGAGTATTATACTGCCGCAAATATCATAATTTGCACAAGATTTCTGTTTTCAGTCATAAGAAACTTTAACATTGCCCACTTGAATCCTTTCCCTAACTATAAAGTTACTTGGAAACAAACAAACAAAAAACCCCCAGATATTCTTTTATTAGTTTTAGAATATATTTTGCTCCAAATGTTTGTTTGATACTACCTGTAGATATTCCTGAAACTCCTCTCTCTTGGATTTTAAGAACTCATAGTTCTTGGGGCCAATGATTCTCTTTGAGGGAAGCTGAGCATCAGGAAACGTACCTAGTAAAGATATCAAGGAGTTTAAATTATTCTTGTTGTTCAGTAAACACTGATTTTATTATTTTAAATTTAATCTAAGTAATGAGTGATAATCACAGCAGGGCAAAATGGCTTTCCAAATGATGGAGAACGTACCATGAAACTCTGTAAGTTTTGATTCAAGCACATAGAATTCAAGATACCTCCTATAGACAGACCAGTGTTCAGGTTCATGTCCAACTGGATTTAAAAAAAAAGTGAAAAATAAACCAGGTTTTATGGCACTTGAGAGACAAATTAGCAACAGCAAACATATGATGATTATCATAGGAAAACATCAATGGCATTAGCCCCCTGTTGTAGTAACATAAACCTCAAGGTACTTCTAATGTCACTGTAAAATGTATAACTGGTAGACAGATATGGTACTACAAGGAAATTATTATTTATGGGATTACTACAATCTAAACAATGGAGTACTGCATAACTTCAACATTTATAATGGCTGACTATATTATATCTATTTTCTAAATTGAAGTAGATGATTTACAGAAATAGTACTTGTTGAATACAGTCCTCTGCACCACCAACTTGAATGCTGATGATTGTTAATCCTATCACTAAAGATATCACTAAATGCCTTTTAAATACTTTCTGCTTTTTGTGGAAGTATTAGTCTCACTAAGACAAATCCCAGCAGCCTTAGGATGATGCTGTTTCTCCCCACTCCATTATGGATGTATTGCTATCCAGATACTGGTAAACTAACTGCATGCCACAATGGTTCCTAATAAGCAAAACACTTTCATTTCCTAAGAACTAATTTTAAAGTTATATAAAAAATTACTTGTTGTTCATTATTCCAACGTTCAGAGTGGGTGAAAAAAAAATGACAGATGTTTATTAATATGAATTTTAAGACAAGTATTTTTGGAAAGAAACATTTCAAACTTTGGCATGAAGTCTAAATAGAACTGATTCATGCTGAGGAATCAGTTCTCAACTAGCAAATGCTAAATGTGATCATTTATCTCTTAAACACATTTCCTCACAACTTTCAAGCTATTATTTTGAAATCAGAACACATATGCAAAACACACTTGCAAAAGCCAACAGAATACAGCACACTAGAATATTCTGAGTTCACTTTTAAATGAGACTTTATTGACCTGCAGCATTGCATACCTGCCCTTCTATCATTTCTCTCTACGTCAATGCAGAATACAGGAATTCTCTCCTTTCTGTCTTTTCTTTCCAAGGAGGGATCATCAAAAAAATCAACGTATGGGATGCTGATTTTCCACGCAGCAAGGTTGCGGGGTGTATTTGGGGTGCTAACAGCCTCCTCAGGAGAATCATCTTCCATCACCATAACACCTTCTTCAATCTGTAAGGATTGAAACAGAGATCTCCAGTTCTATTTTAATTGGTACAGTCTACCTCTGCTTCAAACCAATTCCCTCCTCCTTTTCAAATTTTCCATTTGTCCCGCAACTGTGGTTCAGATAACAATATCCCATGCAGTAAATTCTACCACTGGCTCTATTCATGACTGTTTAGCATAGAAGAAAAACATTAACTGAAGGAGACATCCAAGACAAATAAGACAGGACTGTTGGCTCCTGATCTTTAGAGAGAATTCTGCATCACAGACCAACTTGACAGCAATTTCTACACTATGTTATTTATGGTCTTAAGGTCTTGTGGCAGGTTGCAGATGAAGAGCCATGCATGCAGTCTTGTGCACGCCTTACTACCCAGAATTGGAGGAAAAAGTCTTGCCTATAAAAATATCTGACACTGATAGTTTGGGAACTTCTCTGTACGAAAACAGTAAGCTCAGAAGCACAGAAACTGGGGATGTGACCTTGGCTTGTGAATGAATACAGAGAAGATAAGGCAACTTTATCAGAAGCCAGCACATGAAAACTGCAGTTAAAAAGCAGAAGTTTAACATTTTCAAATGAGAAAAGGAGAAAAAAAATTAAAGCCCAACAAAGACTTCAAGTAAAATTTAATGGCTTTACTCACAAAATCATCTCCTACATTTAAGTTATAGTTAGGCAACATAGCTCCTTCCATTGCAGAACTCTTGAATACACCTTTTATTTTGTTCCCGATTTTGCTGATTCCAAATGATTCTCCTCTCTTCTGCGTGGTCCTAGGATTATAGAAGCCACAGTTCACAACAAAAGGCACATTATTACACAGCTGCTCATTAGGCCATTGCACACCATTTGCAGATAAGAGAAACAACTCTATAAACAGGTATCCAACATATTTACAGTTCCCTTAGTTAAAATTCATTTATGGTATATCTGTTCTCTGATCAATCAGCAAAATTTCTTGATTACACTTTTTAAGAGAGACACAGGAATCCCATATGCTTAACCACGAATAAAGTCTTACAACTTACTTATCCTAGTAATCCATGACACAGAATAAACAATTAGCTAGGTAAAACAACTTTGTTTTGACAGCAGAAACTATGGTATTGCTACAGACATGCACATCAAGTAGGTCATTAACTTTGTCCTCCTCCTTGTACTTGTATTTAAATATTTATCCTTGTACCAAGTGTAGATGCATTTTTAATGGAATTTTACAAGCAGATATCATTCAAGATAAATCTGGTTTTAAGCAGTAGAGACAGATAAAAGGAATGTGCAAGGAGCAAAACTGAGCATGAGAGGAAACAGATGCAACTGAGGAATCCTAGCTTGAAGAGCCAGTCTGACAGAAAGATGAAGAGTTTTTAAAGTCTTGCCATTTATGACAAAGTGTCCAAAAGCCAACAAATCAGGTATGGGAATAAGAAAAATACTTGGGCAGCAAGCACACTCCTCACTGAGAGAACATATTTTTTATTATTCTTATGTCCTTACACAAGTCCTGGCACTGAAGATTATTTCTTGCACAGAAATGCTAGCAATTTTGGAAAGAAAAGTATTTCTGTTGAATACAGAATCAGCCTGAGGTTCTTTATGGTGATTCACTATATACAGTTGAGAGACAAGTTAAAAATCAATACAGTAAACTTCAGAATCAAACATTCAAACCAAATTTATAGACTGCTATTAGACATACAACTAGTACTCTGGACTACAAAAAATCCTGTTTCTTTTTCCTTTAAAACAAGTAACTATTGACTCCTGGAAGGGATTAAAAAGAGAACTGCAGCAATCAGTAGGTAAAGCATTTTCATCATTCATAAAACCATGCAGACAACATCAACTGCTGACTCCAGGCACGCACGTGCATGTTACTAATAACCTTCCTGTTTACAGTCTTACACAGACTGTGTACATGACTAAAGTTGCATAAATAACCCACTGATTTTCCAAATCTTTTGCTTTTTCTATCTCATCTAATCACCAGGTCCAAAGCATACTGGCACCATCTATCTTAATTATCTCTTCTATGCAAAGGCAAGGTTGCTTGGCTGCTTGCAATCTAAATCCGTATTTGAACACTTTTACTCCATTCCTGCACAACTTCTACTACACGTTACTGTGCTGAACTGAGCTGTTACATAGGGGACCTTACCTGAATCTTGTTCAAGTGCTTCAACCGGGCTAGAAAACACAAACCTCAATCAGACAAATCTAGCTCTTCTGGAGGCTGGTATTTCAGACCTCTGGCTTAACCTTGAATGGAATTTTCATCATTCCTCTGAAAACTAGTGCAGCTCTCAAGAGTTTGACCAAAAACATTAATTTGCACAAGGTCAGTGATTTGATACGAGGACTCCAGGCTCAAAGCAGTTCTTTCCCACAGTGAGCATGCTGTAGGTGAAGGCAGCATTCACCTGTGCCTGTAGTGAGCTGTATGCAGCCAGGACTCAACCTGGCAGCTAGGAACCAACCCTTCCAGCCCCAACAGAGCCCAAAGATTACACCACATGAATAAAAAGCAATCACTGAACTGGACAAGTATAAAGTGACAAACTAGGATAGGAATCTCTTCACAGGAAAAGACAAATTCAGAACAAACATCATTGAATAAGCGGGTACACAGACACTGTCCACAATATATGGAGAGAACACAGGACTGGTTTGGCAAAAATCCTTGATCATAAATCACATTAGATGACCACAGAAAAAGAAATTGTGTGGATGCTAACAAAGATGGATGGACCAACAAAAGGATGACTTGACATTTCAAAGAAATGGAGCAATAAAAAAAATATATACAAAAGGTATCAAAATGAAAGTCTAACAGACTCACTGGCTAAGCAGACATAGAAGAAAGACCTTGGGACTAGGTAGAAGGAAAGATGGGACTAGGATAGGGACAGGTTCAAGACTTGAAGGACCAAATATGACAGGAGGTAGCCTGCTTATAACAGAGACTAGAATATTTTTAAGATCTGTCAACAAATATATATATATATCTCCAAAACTTGGAGATATTGGAAAAATATCTCACTCCCTCTAGTGTTAATCCACATAAAGAGCATTATTAGACCATCATTCTATAGTTGCTTTCTCAGGAGGGTCCTCTGTGCAGAGTCTACAGGCTCCAACATTCCTGAAGAATGATGTGACAACAAGAGCTTGGAACACTTCGTTTTTTTCAAAAATTCCAAAAGTAACACATACCTAACATTTAAAAAATTACAGTTATTGTTTGCTCTATAAGAGGGAATTGCAGACTGAAGACTGCAGTAGTCCACTGTGGCATTCTTCAATCATGGATGGTTGCAAAATCATTTTCCCACAGGCTGCCTGCCTCATTCAGTGCACTGAACAGATTCAGGTGATGAGCCAGGGCTGTGCAGCTGAAGAATGATGCTGTGAGCCTCTCTGGGTCAAGAAGGACCAGACCAGTTGTATATATCAGACAAGGCAGATATTAACATGCATTTGAAGTCATAGTACCATTTCCTTTGGCTGACTAGATTCCCTACACACAGTTAGGAGAAATGCTGAGCACATACTGCTGCACTTGAAAATCAATGAGCTGCATTTATAACTCAAGAACTCCTTATTGCTCAACAATTAAGTTATAGCTCAACATGCTGAACTGGCACATAAAATATAAAAGCATCTAATTACCTTGATTTTTAACCCAAAAAATTAAGTTGAAAAATTTCCCCTCAAGACTAGATGAGCAAACTATGTCATATTATCCTCTGTTAAATTCTAAGGAAAAGTCCATGAGGAAAACATTGTTTTCTGAGTTTGGATACCTTGTATTTAAAGAGGCATGAATAATGAGAAACAAACCACTGGACAGCTACTAAGGCATTAACGAGTGGTCACATACTACCTTACAGCAAATTTAAAAAAAAATAGCATATGGTGTCATCAAACCTGTAACAGTCACAAGAGAAGCTGCAACTTGGGCAACTGTTGGTTTTGAGTGCTTAAAAATCATAAAATGGTTTTATTTGCAGGTGATGTTAGACAATAATCACTCCAGAGACAGTTTGCAAGACAAAACAAGCACACAAGTGGATAACAATATGACATGGAGTAAAGGAAATTTTGGAGCAGCTAGCAGTTACAAGTAAAAAAAAAAAGGTTTCAAGGTCTGGAAATATATTCAGCAAAGTGTTAATGTACAGCAAACAATTTCAAGGCAATGTAAACACATGAAATTAGTAATTAAGCAATTTCTAAACACCTGTGAAAAGGACATGGGGAACAAAGATTTTTGTGAAGAGAAATGCACCTCAGTCTGGAGAAGACATTCATGTCTTTTACAAATAAAATGAACAGTTAATTACTGTTAAAAAGGCTCTATGATGAAGTCATGAGAGATGCAGCATAACTAACACACAACATTTATTGAGTGTTAGATAGACTTACCGTAAGTCATCCAAACTCAGGCTACTTCTGCAACAACAGGCAACAAATCACCTCAGAGCCCAGCAGAAAATCAAAATAAAACCAAAACAACAAAAGAACCCGAACCAAACCAAATCTGACTGACCTATCCCAACAAAATTCAATAGGTTTTGACCATCACCATAGGTTAAAAAAAGATGTAGTACCATTAGGACTTCCTGACCTAGAATCCTAAGAAAGTGGAATGTGAACAGTATTTACTCATCTCACCATCATCACAAGCCTGGCCTTTGAATTTGAAACATCAGTTATCGAAACTTTCAGGAGATTCAGCACAAGCAACCACAAATTAATAGAGAACAATTTTCGTTCTTGGAGTTATTTGTAATGCCAAATAGCCAGCTAACTTTTCCTATTACCTATATTCAGAAGTCATGTAGGAATCAAGTTAATTTAGCCAATACAATGAAAAGGCTGTGGCCTCACTTTGTGTAATAATACATGCTTTCTCCCTCTGTCTATTAGTATAGCATATACATATATAATACAGTATAATATACATATTAAGTATAGTAAGAGCCAATATTAAAAATTAATTTTTAAAATATTTTTAGTTCACAGATTTTAAGAATTGTCACACATTTCTAACAGTCTACATAACCTGGTATATAGAACCAACGCCTCAGACATCAACCCAGTAATTCCAATCAACATGTTTAAATGAATTAACTATACTGTCACCACACAGAGGAATTTAATTCATTGGAGCTACTGAATTGTGGACAAACTAACATGGGATAAAAACATTAGATTTTGTTTTACAGAAGGATCTGATTGTAAGACATCTTACACTGCCTTTGGCTGTGTAAACTGTGAAACTGGAAATATAACCTAGCAGGTTAGAAATTATGATGACTATTACACTGTATAGAACTTTTCACAGACTTAGTTCCATGGGTTTTTCTCCTAACCACTCCCTGAAATTGTTAGTCTTTTCTACATGGTCCTTTAACCTAAAAAATGCTTTAATTTCACTGCTATTCTAGTATTTGTCTATTTCCATTTGTGGTTATGGTATGTCAAAAATTGAGATAGATACACAGAAATCCAGAAATCTAAGAGTTCATACTACATAACAGCTTTTCTTTGTTCAGACTTTCAACACAGACTACATTTAAGTAACGTAGTAATGTATTATAAATACATAAATATGAGAGAGAGATGGAATTCTTGTTTTCTCTTCCACGCTACTCAAATTAAGTTAACAGACCTAGAACTTGAAACATCAGTTATCATAGGCCACACACATTAAATACTAGGTAAAAAACATCAGTTACAACTGATGACAACCACAGTTAGTTATCAAGTAGTCAGAATAACTTCAATGTGACTTCTTTACACTCCAGAAACCCCTGGCACTGCTTCACTATTGGCTTTGCAGTTCTCATAGCACATTATTTGTCCTATCTGTCTGCAAAAAGCTATGATTGTTCTGTAAAGTTCAAATAAGTGATTCAAACCAAAAAGTGATTCAAACCCTCTTCCTACCTTTCCACCTATATTTTCTAGAAACTGTAATTTTCTTGTCTTGCAATAAGGGAAATGTTTCAACACATCACCGGCATGCATGTTCCACTGGGATCTCATACCTACTTCTTGATCTGATTTTTTAATCAACAGTATCTATGCAATACACACACTGTATCCACACTAAAGCACATCAAAAATATGGTAAACAAAACTAATCTCTTTGCATCAAATTATTTTCAAGCAAAACTAATTCTAGAATAAGGAAGAGAGGGCAGGACAAAATATATGGAATAACATCTGGAATAATTCTGTAAGAAACCTTGATTTTTCTCCACCCCCTTGGAAGTGACTGTACACAATTCTGCAGAGGGAAATTCCAAAGCAACAGGCAAACTACTTGCAAGATAGGACCTCTGTTTCATGGAAATAATCATTGAGGCACCACTTCTGGAACACACAGTATCTTGTACTGTAAATCAGCATATATACTGAGAGTATTCAAATTGCTCTAAATGTAAACCAGATACATTTTCAGTAATGCTATGGATGCTGTTTGAGAATATGCTGCAACAGCCGCCAAACAAAATTTGTTTATTTTGTAGCCAGAGATGCATTTCAAAGACTCCAGGCAGCAACGGCCTGTAAATTCCCCCTTTCTGTTTTTAAAAGCCAAGTACCAGAGGTGACCTACATGTTTTCATATTTTAACTAGATTTAAGAAGAGTATTACAGAATACTTCCAACTCCTGACATGAACAATTTGGGGGAAGAAACCAGGGGGCAGATTTAAAGGTCTAGGTGTAGCCTAGCCATCTTCAACAGAAGCTTGAAGCGTGTTTAAGGCCATTCTACATGGAGTACTGTGTAGGAAAGGAATGCAGTTTGGGCTAGCTGCCTTCATCCCATGCCTCTTCGTTAAGAAACAGAAGTTTGCCAGCACCACTAGGGGACAGCACTACACCAAAGCTCCAGTCCTCGACCTACAGAAACTATAAAGACTACATAAAAGACGTCACCAATGGAGACATAATAAAAAAGAACAAATCGGCCCATTTTTGAAGAAGAGGAGCAGAGAAGAAAGGTATATGCCAGTAATACGAATCTCACAGTAGGCTGTGAAACAGGAGTTTACTGCCAGGTGTAATTCTAATGAAAGCAGTAAAGGTAAAATGAATCAGTGTTACTCCTCTAGAAGAGGACAAGCATTATCATTTTCCACAGTACCATGGATCTTACTTCATATCAAGAAAGAAAGTCTATCCAAATTAAAGACTGTCTCACTGATGTTTTCCTAGGCCATAAGAGAAATTCATTTGGGCTAGCCTACAATTCTCAGAGCCATCCAACAAAAAGTGAAACAAAAGAAATTTTGAGGCCTCAAGGTTTATCAACCCAGCCCAAGCCCACAGGGGAAGATCACCTATCCCCACCACAGGAGAGGCTCTTCTCCTCCACAGGCTGTGAGGAGCCTGAAGGAGGCCTGGACTGTAAGTATATGGCTCAGAAACAAGGCTTCTGATGCTGCATTTCTGCACTGGAGTTGAGGGAAAGAAAATACATTTGATTTAGGAGAAGTGGCAAAACCTCCCTACCATGGTAAGAGGAGATTCCCATCAAATAACCCAGCCGGTTTGACACAGGGTATGCTGTACCTATCCCTACAACATCTGAAATCCAAGAAGACACAGCTTGGCACCACTAAAATGGTGCCAAATATACACAGTCAATTAAATCATCACTTTATTTTCACATAATCTTATTCTCACTGCTTATTTTTTTCCCTTCCCTCTTCTCAAATGCCGATGTCTAAATCACACACTGAATTCTTGAATACTTAAGGAGAGGAGATGTCTCATGTAATACTGCTTGCATCTTAAGTATGTAATTTGTTCACTTAAAAACAAAAAATAGGTCTAAAATTTAGTCAAATTAATATAAGACAACAATAAAATTCTCACAGCTTAATATTTTGATGTTTTTAATTAAAAACCAAAGAAAACCATAGCTACCTGTTAAACTTTGAATTGCGGGTTGGTGACTCTGCTCCTCTTAAAAGATGTCTGAAGTACTGTAGCAGACAAATAAAGTATCAAAGAAAACACTGGATTAACTGACGTAAAGGCTACCGTGTAACAATATTGCAAAATTCAGGAAATAAGAACTGAAGGAAAAGCCAATCTGACCATAATCTAGCAGTTAGAATTTTAATCTGGAAAAGGACAGACCATACAATAATCAATACATGAGACTAGGACTACTTACTTAATCTTATGTAATCATGAGATTAAAACCACAAAGTAGAAATAAAAATTCAATTAAGCACCAAAATCCATGTCTCCTCCTTTTTACAAAACCAAGCATTTGAAGCATTATAGCTATCATGGGAGAGATGACCATCAAAACTATTTTTGAGAAAAGTTCTTTTTATTAATGCCAAGTAAGGCAAGTACCCAATCCCTGGACAAATCAACATATTCTGCTTCAAATGAATGCAAGAAGCTTAACACACAACCTGACTTATACACACAAACTTCTGAAAGGAACATGAATTCAGACTCACCCCTGTGATTAAAGTGTGTCCTGCTAGAAGGCCTTAGGCAGATAAAGTTAACCCAGTGCAGGGAATTCTTAAGGTGGCATTTAGAACCCAATCACACAACAATCTTAAATACCTTGTAAATTGCATTGAGTGATCTTCTTGAAAACAAACACCAGACTTTTAGCTGCAGGAATGCATAATGCTGATAAAACCTAAATACAACTTTTGTATCTTTAAATACCATTACATTTTTAAAAGTAAATAAAGACATTGTGTTCTACATCTATCGGGCCGATTACTTTTGCACCAAATCTGTAATCACAAAGGCAGGGTGAAGAGGATTTTGTAATAGCTGTCATATACACAAATTTTTACATCAAAAAAATAAAGTTTTCCTTTTATTCTGTGATTTTATTCATTCTGGACTAGAATTAATTTTATTTTTCTACTGAGAATGGTCCAGATCTAGAATGTCAGCTGAAGTGGAAAACGAAGCCATGTTTTTCAGTTCCACATACACATGACTGTTGTAAATAGTGTATCCTAAAAAAATTTAGTCTTGCTTTTAAGACTACTCTTCAAATCTTTCATGCTTACCTCATCACTGTGACAGAACATGGGAGTAAAAACATTCTCAAGCAGAGAAAGGACGTGCTCATAAGCTTCAAAAAGACACCGCATAGTTTGAAGTTTCACAACATCCTTATACGGACCTTCAGCAACTATTAAAAAAAAGTAAGTATGAATAGAGGGTGATATACATAAAGGCATATAAAGTTCATGTTTTCTTCTGGTCAGAGCTGGTGATTACTTTACAAGCTACTCAAAGTTTTATATATAAAAAACAGAAATAAATTGCCAAAAAAAGTATTAAGCACAATATAGAATGGGAATAATTTTTAAAAGTGGCAAAAAAAGTTTGATGATATTTGGCAAAATTTGTTTTCACTTCATTACAAGATGCTGTCTAAATTCCAATGTACATTATTCCTTTTGAATTCCAACTTACTTCTTTGAATCTCTTCCACAATGAAAGGGTCAAATCTAATCTTGTCGATGCTTTCATCCAAACAGTAAGTTTTATAAATTTTCTGTACTTCGTCATGAAGAGACATCTTTTCAGTATCTGATAGCTCTGGTCTCAAAATCCGGTCATTGAATTCCTCTGAGAAATAAAGAAAAGAAGAAAACATTGCTTGATCATCTTGGCAAACAACATCTTGAAGTACTCTATAACATTTTCCTCTAAATAACTTGCAAAACTTCAAAATTAAAAGCAACATATGACATCTCAAAATCTGAGGTAACAAGGCAGCTGCCTTTTTATTAACTATAATTCAGATCTGTTCATAAAGTTATTGCTAAAAATATTTTGCAATTAGAAGAAATTATTCCTTATCACAGTAATGATAAATTCATGAGGTTGTCCCTGGCATATGAATGATTTTTTTCTTCCTAAATTACCCAAATGCAAATTGCAGTGCTCCATTAGAATTATTTCCATATCATCAAGTAACATCAGGACACATCTGTAATCTTACCCACAGCCAGGCAGAACTGCAGCACATGGACAGCCCCTTCCTGTTTCAGGAAGTTCATAAACCGAAATAAAAGGTCTTGCTGATCTCTGATCTCCTTTAGCTCCAGTTTCAGTACCTGAGTAGGTTAAAAATGCTGTCAGCCAACTTTAAAACTTTCAGTCAGTACATAAATAACGCAAAGAGCTGTAGAACAAAATCAGCAGGTAAAGTACAACACTTATTCAAAACAGGAAAGGGAATAAAGGTTGCCTTTGCTTACAGATGGTTTTTTATTTCTTGGCTCAGCAAATTTCTGAAGGAATGGAACCAATGATGAAGTAGGCTCAGTTGCTATCTCGGGCTGCAGAAAAAAATGCCAACTGGGTAAGAAAGCTCCTTTCATGGGTGATCAAAATGCCACTGTTTTAACTCTGTCAGTACTCACTGGACTATCATCAATGAAGATCAGCAGTAAATGGTTGACAGTATCCTGCAAGAAACACAACACAACAAAAAATTATTATTAAAGATATTCAACAAAATAGATTAAAATTATTTCAATACGATGTTATACCCAAGATTAAATGTGAGTATATTAATACTTTTAAAAAGGCAAAACCTGGCAATACACGTTTGAGACCTAACCTTCAATGGTCTCCTCAAGTTTTTACATGCCAGGGAATTTCTGAAGAGACTCACAAAGAAATATTCATTACCCAATGGAAGAAAGGCCTCCAAAGTATTATTACTCCAAGTGCAGATCTAATGAATTAGTAATACTTCCACACTATAGTACTTTCTGTTTGCAGCCAGGTGATGCCTGCATAAGCCCTGCCAATTTGCCTAATAAAATATATGCATATATAAAAACAAGGATGGCAGTGCTGCAGCTTCAGAAACATATGCCCCTTGATTTGCAGAATTAAGGGGGGAAAAAATTATTTCAATACAGCTGCAAAAAAAGGTGGTTACTTAGACTGCTATTAAGATGCACAGAGCTAGAGTTCAAGTAATTGAGCCCTTATAAAATGTAGCAATAGTAAGTTGTAGATATTTACACTAACACAGCATTCTCCCATTTGACAGGAGCTGTAATCCTTCACTGAAAAATACATGCTTAAGAGATCACACCAATACTGTTAATTCAGTCAGTTCAGTCAGTTTGTTCATATGAACAAACAAAACAGTTGGCCACAAGATTTCTTTTTCTTGTATCTAGTCAAAATGCACAGCAAGTAAGTCATTGCACGCCATTTGCTTTACCACAATATACTTAGTAGGTAAACAGTAATTTTGAATCAATTAAGATTATTCTTGTGCTCCAAAGTCTTACAGGGTCAGCTAAGAAATCCATTGAGGGAAGGAAAACTGAACCAGGGAGAATCTCTCTAATGAGAAGGGCCAGGGATCTGAAAAGAAAATAAAAGAAAGGAAATAAAAATCCAAAGTAGTACTAGATTACATAAATTTCTGAGTGAAGTTTCCAACTCTGTCATATACTACTAGAAAATATTTTAGGATTTAATAATACCATAAGCATGCTATTTTAGAGATAAAGGGGTAAGGAAGATGACTGTGAAGTTCATTCTTTCACTTTCCAAAATTATTGTACTACTACTATTGTAGTATGGAAACACTTTAAAAAACACAATTCTAAGTAATTTATATACCTGCACTCTGTTGACTTTGGGGGCAAAATATAAGGAAAAAGAAGTTCAGTAAGTTTTCTTAAGTAGTGAAGTTCATCCCTTCGGTTTCTCAAAGCAACATGCAGTTCTGGTCCATATTCTTCTAAAGCAGCTTGCTGCAAAAATTCTGCATTTTTTACTGAAAGTAAAAGACAGTGTTACAGAGTTGCTTCAGCTTCTTCTTACTGGTAAACAAAAGGCAATTGGTTTTTGTTTGAGCTAAAAAGTTAGTATTTGTAGCACAAACACAACTGCCAAAGAGATAAAATGCTGAAATTTTACAAAAGAACCTTGGCTTAGACTTTGAAGCCTAGCTATGTAAAAATAAAATCTCACACTGAAATAAGAATTCCTTCACCAAACAATTGCAGTTTGCATGGTATCCAGAATGCTTTCTCATTTATCATTATATATAAATATATAAAAAATAATATAAACTCTTATTTACTTATTCAATTATATATATATATATATATAAACTAAATATAAGAACTCAGCATCTGGATTCTCAAAAAAATTGCATCATGCAAAGTCTGCCTCTAATTGCCTTTTTCCTGACCTTCTTCGTGATCTCCATTTTTTTGGCCTAGAACAGAATTTGAAATCAACGTCAACTTTTACTCAATCCTGTAGTATCTGTTTCCTGCTTAGAACACATAAAAACAAACGTGAAGGAACATACATTTTAAACACAGGGTCAATCAAGCCAAAACCTGCAGGAGGATCTGCTACAGTACTGCCTCTTAAATTACGGTGGAATTGAAAGACTACCTCCTTATCAGATTAAAAACTATAGATATTAATTAGAAGCAACAATGTTACATTTCTTCAGATCACTTCAAAGGCAAGAACTGAGCTGCTGTAAATCACACCTAGCTGAATTAGCAATGTGGCACAGCCTTTTGCCAACACCACCACCAGGCATAGTGAGGTATGTAATATATTTCCAGCTACCCTCAAAGTTAAAGCTTATTCCCAGCATATCAGAGAAGCCTGCTGGCTTGGCCTTCACAGCCAAAACCCGTGAGTGGTGTCAGCTGACAGAGGGGATGCAGCAATATATATCACCTGATAAATCTGCCCAGCTGGTGTCACTAAAAGCAGAGAGGAGGAATGCACCCTCTAGCGAGGACAGGTAATGAATTGTGGAGGTGTCTGTGCAAATAGAAATTACTAAGAGAGGTAAGAGCAACAAGAGTAGAAGAAAAGGAAATGCCCCCTAAAAGCAATCCACGTTGAAAGGATTTAGAAAATAAGGAGAAAAGACTAGGCTCAACTAGCAACCAAAGCAGGGTCTTAAAGCTGTCTCTGAACCGTGTATTGCGGTGGCTGCTTTAGCAAAGTTTACTAGAAAGTGCTACTAAAAGTCATTTTCAACTGCTACTTCACATATCTGCCCTTAGGAAATGAGTCTTTTTCTTTAAAACATTGAGGAAAACAAAATGGTTATATTTTCAATACCATACATTTAAAATACAGTTCTTTACTGCTAAAGAAAAGTGTTTCCAACTTCTTGGTAGAAATCAAAGGGAACATGAAATTTGGTGTAAAACGGCACTGCAAGATTATCTCCTATCTTGAAATTGCTGTTGTGCCATGAAAGGCATCCAACATGATTACACTATGTCTCATTACTCATCTTAATCATTAACACTACTCACAGGACCAATGGCATGTATTTATGGATATCAAGCAGACATTTGGAGGGAAAGAAGAAAAGTTCACGACTCCAGTTAAAGTAAACATCTACACTTAAAAGTTGAATGAAACCACATTTAGTAGATACAGCATGGTGGAACACAGCCAGTGAAAAAAATAATAACAACAGCAAGAGTTTCCAAATATTTCTTCTGTATGCAGTTTAAATATAAGTTTTACATTAGGTTTTTGAAGATACTCTTATCTTGGATAACAAATATGCTTCTGCTCAAAGTCTCTCCATAGCTTTTCAACATATTACAACTTCACTAATGCAGATCTGAAATCATTCTATCTATAAGAGCTATGAGGTACAGTGCACAGATGTACAAATCCTTTTATCTATAACTGCTCGTTTGGAATATAAAGGAAAAACTTCAAGAAGCATTCCTGAATGATCATGATTGTTCTGACCAGACAAAACCCATATTCCTGTCCACCCCTGTACAGATAGAGAAATTTAGTATTTTCATTGTGGGCCAATAAAAATCAAAACAGAAAATATAAATATGTCCTGTAACTTTTTCCCTATTTGCCTTCGCAACCATCAGAAGAAAAATGCAAAAGGATCTAATTAAAAAAAAAGGTCATAAGGATAAAAATACAAAGCAATATAATCTCGAACATGCATAAAAGAATATTAATATTTGGCCTTTGAAACTGACAACCTATTACGTCTTGACATTACCTTTTTGCCTGGCTTTGGCTATTACTTCAATGTGTTTCATTGCTGCCTTGAGCATCTTCTTTGTTACAACCGTTGGAATGTCCACCTAAAGAATAATTTCAAAATCAAATCAAAACTGTTCTATTTCCTCATCCCTCGCAAATTTATTACCGACAACCATCAATCATAGTAATTTGATGATATGTTCCAGTTTGAACTATAAAATGAACCATTGAGAAATAATTCAAAATTCCCTAGGTGAGCTGACAGGGACCTCATTCTTCTGCCAAGGTATATAAAAACACATAGAACTAAATGCCACAAACAACACAGTTAACACATTTATTGTCAACTCATTCCCATTATGTTTTTTTCATTGCAATAAATATAGCAAGGCAGTGTGATTTTTGAGTCACAGTATATGAAATCCAGTTCTATGGGATGATTGGACCACCAACAAAAGGATCAAGTTAACTATGCTCTGCATGCCTTAACACTCTGTAGTCATGTCCACAAGGACTAAAACCAAAGAGAAACCTTCCTGCTCACAGGAAGAAAAAATGTCACTCTTCAGGTGATGGCAGAACCCGAAGAGAATTTGAGTTACAGAGTCAAAAGACCATTAGTGCCAAAACCATGTGATCATATGCCAAACAAAAAACGCATATGATCTATCAAGGATTGTATTAGGGTCCTGCATTTCTATTTTCTCTGGTGGCTACAAAAACTGAAGGAGAACAATTCAGGCACAAATTACTTTGGGTTGTCTTAGTCCTGCTCTAAACAGGCTCTGATCAAGGTGCTCAGGGCTGTATCCAAGCTGGTGCTGAAAACCTCCTCAGGTGAACACAGTCACCTCTTCCAGCCTCAATTATCTTGGTGGCCCTTTGGTTGAACCTGCACTACTTTCTTACAAAGAAGAGCCCAAAACTGGGTTAGTATCCTAAATGCCATCCAAAGAGTACCAAGTGAAGGCAGATAATCACTCTCCTTGATTTTCTCTGCTCCTGTCACTACAGCCCAGGATGGTGTTGGTGTTTTAAGCTGCTATTGGTGGTTCATATTCAGCTCACAACCTACTATGGGCCCAGGTCTTGGCAGCAAGTACAGCTTCTCCCTGAAGCCAGTCAGTCCCCAGCCTGTACAGTTTCAAGGGATTCTTTATCACCTGCAGCAGTTTTCACAGAAACTCATCTAGAAGGTGATTTACATGTTGCATACTCTTTATTTTAAACAAGAGACACCTCAGAGATGCAAAAATATACACCTGTGAATGTTCAAAATCTAAGAATTCTGAACAAGTTTCTTTCCTAATGGAGGAATCCCTCAATACAGGATCTTGCCAGACAAGTTAAGAGACAAAGCAATTGCAAAGGCCACCAGAGCTGAGAGAAAAGTTGGTGGCTTTTATTCAATTGTACAAGGAGAATATTACATATTCCTGCACACTCCCCTATAATATTTTAAGTGTGCAGCTATGACCTGACCTGGCCAGCCCCAACAAGCCAGTACAATTGACTGGAGCTGCCTAAAAGTAAGGTCAGCTCCTGTTTACAAGCACAAAAGGACAGGCTTCTGCTTTTCAATGTAAAATCCTGTCTTCTGTGCCTCACATTCCAACAGTAATTTCTAGAAATTAAGAATTTCCTATGGCTTATAAGGAGAGGACAGAGTTTCTTCCTGCAGAGGTAACTCAAAGAGCACAGCTAAGGAAATTGTTATCAACACTGCAGTAGACACCGTGAACTTTTGTCAAAAACTTAAATCAGATGCAGGGTTATCTACACCACACTGTACAAAGGCGTGGTATAACCCTTGCCTTTCCCTTCAAAATCTATAACCAATCCAGAAATGGCCACAGCAAAAAAAATCCAGATTTGAAGTATTTCAGCATACATTTAAGAGCTGACTGGCCTGTAGTGCTTTTAACTTCATTCAACAACCATGCTTTGACCTAGGCAGCTTTGAACAGAAAACAAAAGCATTCTTTTCATTAAAGCAATTTGCAATTTTTAGTCTCAACTCAAAAGTAGACTATTCTTTGGCAAAAAAAAAATAAAGATTTCATCTAAAAAAAATGAAAAAATGACCTGTGTTTTCTTATACAATTCTTCCTCAATTTAAACATTTTATCTCTATTAGCTAGAACTATTGCTTTCAAGCATTTAATAATAAATCCATAACAGAGTACAGCTGGCTTGGCAAAGGTATACAACTATTTTATTTTTCAACTGACGATGATGAATTTCTCAACATATGTAATTCTGTGATTAACTTTATTTTGTATGGTTCCCCTGACAGTGCTTAATACTGACACGTGTCTTTGTTGCACATATTGCCTACCCAGAGAGCTGAAGATACTACATTTAAATCCTCACTGTCAAAGGCAGAGATGGTAAATTAACACTCTACTTCAAGATGCTGTAACTCACTTGAGATATCCCAATCGATGCCTTATTACATGATCAATACAGGAGACACGGTCACTTTCTGAGTCAACAATGGATCCATGAACAATGCAACTAACACCAGCAAGTATTACAACCCCAAATTAAATGTTAAGACCTTGGTCTAGATTTTCACTTTGAAGATTTACTCCTTTCACATCTCCATACAATGTCTGTGCTACATGGATTTCCTAATCTTCCCCCGTATTCATTTTAAAAAGCAACATGTCTGATTTAGAGACAATAAAGAAATCTGGATTTGATATGTAAGAAGGAGAGAATCACACTGTTAATAAGTCATTACAGGGTACATGTACAACTTGTAGCTCAGGAAATATTGCTGTAAGTAAGGAGGGGGAAAAAAGACACATATTTATGGTAGTGGCTCCAACAGAGAGTCCAGCACTGACTAATTCTGGAAATTGAGTTAGCAACCCTTTCTGCTTACAACAGCCAAAAAGTTACAAGCAGTTCCTGTGAAACAAGCTTGAAACTCTTCACGAGGAAATAGTTTTGCTGTCAAAAAGAGAGCACATACAAAAAAAGTAAATGCTAATAGATTAAGCACATCAAATGAAAAGTATGTGCCAATAGATTAAACACAACAAATAAAAACTTCTAATCTTTAGCATTCAAAATGCTCCTGAAGAATTGCATTAATGTAAGAACCACATCTGTTTTAATTCTTACCTGGTCACCTGATGACAGTCTAGTTTTTATAGACAATGTAAGGGCCTTGTTTGCATTTTAAGAAGATAAGCAAGCAGAAGCTAGAACACAGCTCACCATTTTCTAGTAGGTCTTTTTCAGTAATTCTCAAAATGGTTTCCACTTGAATTAAATCACCAAAAGACAGCTAAAAGGTCACAAGATTTTAATAATGCCTTGCACTGGTGTAATAAATATATCCATTTGCAAGAACTGGGGAAAGGTTTGAGTCACAAGGGACCTTCAGAGACCACTTATTTCAACCCCCAGCCACAGCAGGGACATCCTCCACCAGAACAGGCTGCTCAAAGCCATATCCGACACAATGCTGAACACTTCCAATGATGAACCTTCAGAGATGGTTTACAACTATGAAGGGGATAAGCTCCAAAATGATGGGGTAGATACCAAAAAGAAGTAACTCAGATGGTTAGAAACAACCTACACTGTAAGGCTGACTTCAGAATCACAATTTTAAAAAAAAAGTAACTAAGAACTCACAAGAGATGAATATCAATTAATTCCAATGGAAAACCAACACTAATAAGTCACCTTACCTTGTGAATTCTCCGAACTAAGACAGATGCAAAAAAACGTAGCGTCCCTCTCAGTTCATCCACTGAGGACTCATCATCAGTAATATTTCTGCAGTGTTTCAAACCATGGCATATGAGAAAACAGAATAAAATAAATCTCTCTTAATCCAACCACAATACATTTGGCACTATTAAAAGCATAATAATAACAATGTTCAACAGTGATACTTCAGCTGGAATGAACTGAAATGAAAGTTACCAGAGAGTCAGCAGTCTTCTGTCTGAGGAAAATACACTGCATTCTCACAAGTTCTGTGCATACAACGGCTTAAGAAAAACATCAGGAAATTGCAATGATATACCAATTCCTGCTGTCATATACTATCTGCATGATTTTGACTGAGTAAAATCTAACCTAGTTTCTACATATGGAAACACATCCAAACTCAATGGTGTAAAGGAAATTGAAATTATTTAAAGTGTCTTCTGCTTGGAAGCAAGAACTTAAATAGATTTCCAAATCGCTACGTCAAAATATCATCCAAACTTTTAACCTGGCTTGACAGTTTCCATCCACTGCAATAAAATATGTGCAGTGAAAACTCATGGTAAAAATAATTAAACGTGATTCAGGAAGAAAAATACCTAACTCCATGACTTTTTTGGAAAACTGAATGATAACGGGAAATACACTAAGTCTTAGATGAAGAAACTGCAACGAAACTGAGTGCAAAAAGATCATAATACCAGCATTCCACAAAATGCAAGCAAAAACCAAAAATCTATCTGTTATTAATATGAACTTTAGAGCATGACTAATATATTGGTAAAACTGAATTATAATAGTTGAATAATGACATAATAAAGGAAGTTGCATTAGTTTTAACTAATGATCATATGCAAGAGCCATCACACTTTTTGGTGAAAAATGAGTGTAGTAAGTAGAAATATTACTTGTGTTATAAGAGAACCCTACAAGCAAGAACAGGACATTTAAAAATAGTTTTAAAAATTATGCATAAAATATTTTACATTATTCAGCATTCAAATTTTAAAGCATTTTTAGCCTGGGTTATAGAACATTCAAAGGCATGTTGATGATGAACAATCAGGTACATATACCAGAGATACCAGTGACCTGAGAGTCAAAGTATGCAACTAATTGCATGGAAAAAAAAAAAAAAAAAAAAAAAAAAAAAAAAAAAAAAAAAAAAAAAAAAAAAAAAAAAAAAAAAAACGCCTCAAAGAAAGCAGCCTGGCACAAGAATCACAACCATCCTCCAAGAGCTAATCAAATGCAGATAAGAACACTGTAGGGGAAAGTTTGGTTTAAGATCAGCAACTGACATTTTATAAGCAATATGGTTAGAAAATACCCACACTGTCAAAGGGATTAGGATTGCCAAGGGATTAGCAAACAAACTGTATTACGGTATTACTAGCATGTGACAGACAAGAAGATATATGAAGTAATTTGGACCAAGAAGTTGTTATTTTATTGACAGTTGGATAACCAGTATCTTGGCTAACTCAACTTGGACACGACTTTATGCCACATACTCTCGCAACAGATTTGCAAAGACATTCTTTTAATCACCAGCAGACTGAAGACTGGCAAAAGAAACATCATGAACCTGTAAAGTGTCAAATCTACAGTGACTCAGGGGAAAGTCCAAATAACCCTCTTGGAAACATTTTAAAAGCTGGCTGTGTTTTCCCAGAACTTTAAGACTATTAATTGTAAACAGTTACAAAGTCTAATGTCTGAGAGATACACCCAACTGCTATTGCATGCAAAGCCTTACTGGATTCACTGATAAATGTAAATCATATACAAATAACAAAGTGATATTTTTCCTCTCTGTGTCAATTATTCTTACAAAACTTGGCTAACTCCCTTCAAAAAGATGTAGAAAATAAGTCACAAGCTAATAAAAATGTAAAGCTATGGTTTGTAACTCAACAAAAATTCAGATCTTTTCATGCCTTACTTGCATTTTAAAAGAATTTGCATTTAAAATAGAAGCAGCTCCATATATGAAAACATGGTGTTTAGTCACCACCAAAGAAAAATGTTTTCATAGCAATGTATTACAAAAAAATGTAGAAATTACTGAATTCTGTCCTAATCTGAGAGAACTGGAGTTGCAGTACCATGAATGACCAAAAAATATTTAGTAAGCACAGAGTGAGCCATTTAAAATAACACTGGTATAAGCAAGATATTATACATGTATAATATCTTATATATGTACAGCATAAGCAAACTACTTAGATCCATGTTTTGTAGCTCTACAAACTTGGGATTACTTACAACTATGCTTTATTCTTCTCACAAAGTTGAAAAAAAAGATCTTAATATAACCAGCATAAATACTTTAAAAAAATAAAAACCAAAAATGCACACAGGTATAATGACCTATTGCAGTAGAGTTCACTGGATTTTAAGCACTAACCGTCATTCCCCTAAAGTGGTCTGAATTTAGGACCTGCTTAAATTTTAAGCTGCTAATAAAAAAATTAGAAATTCTTACTCAGTTTATTAATGAAACAAACATAAACCAGCTTTTATATGCTTATAGCATTTCTATTCCTAAGCAAAAAATCCATTATTTTATCTTGCAGCACACCCTGCAAACATTATACTTCTCTGGCTTCTCACTGAGATACATCCTGGTAACAGTAATGTCCAAGACAGCATCAGTTGGCATAGCATATAAAACAAAAAACAAGTTAAAAAAAAGAGGTATCTTCTGTGCAAAATCCATTTACATGAAAGGCAGAGCAGCTAGCCCAAGGATTTATGCCCAAAGTTTTCTTTGCAAAGGAATGTAGCCACTGTTTTAGCCGCCTCTCTGTCAGGTATGAATTGCCTGCTGGTGCTCACCCAGCCACACTGCTAAATAAGGACAGCATGGATGCAAAGGCTCTGGGAAGAATTAACCTGAGTGAGGTTCATTTGCTCAGAAAACAAACATGTCCTGGATGCATGAATCCTCACTGCCAGGGGATGTGAGCTTTGCCAACAGCGCAGGTACAGCTAGAGTGGGGAAAGTCAGAGCTGACATGCTCTACAACCAGCTCTCAAACCATGGCACACACAGTTCAGGTCTCCCTGCAGAACCCCTGCTGCAAACACCTGAATGTCTAGACTAAATAGGATCAGCTCTGACATTACTACTGTTAAACTGAAACCAGTAAGCCTTTCAGGATCGAGATGTTTCCTGTAGAATTGCTTCACTGAACTCCCAGTATTTCAGGTTCACTGAAAGCTTGTTAGATTTCTTCAGCATGGTGTGAATTTACGGAACTAGTTCAAAATCCGGAGGTGCAGCCATGCAGAACTTAGGGCAGGAACACCTACACTGCTCACCAATGGGCAGGGTGGAGCAGAAGGTAGGCTGGCTGGCTTCATACAAAGTGTATTTTACACTGCATTTCTAACTGTACATTATATATATAGGGAATTATTATCCCCACCAGATGATGTATTCCAGACTTCCACTGCCTTGGCTGTCAAAGAGATAAGTTAATTGGTGGAAGCCAAGTTTTCTTGTCAGTCCATAATAAAGACATTAAAGACACCTTCCACCAGCCAAGAAAAAACTGTTTTCCAATCATGCATTTGTTACTTTATCAACAACCCAATAGAATATGCTCTAGTTTTCTGTATTTGAAAGTTTAAAACCTTGAGATTTCCAACTTGCATTCACAACACGTGGTGCTAAAGCTCCCTCTGCTGTTTGCATTAGCAGTGAAGTTTTACACTTCAGCATATTCAACACACAAAGTTAAAGGTGGAACATGGAAGTATTGTCTAAAATCAAAAACCCAAGAGGCAAAGAAGTCTGAACAGTAAATTTTGGGTCACAGAGACAGAAAAAAATCCAAAAAACACAGAGTAAAAATAAAAGAAAGCATATTTTTTTAGGACCATTTGAACTTTTTGTTCCATGAAAAAGTCAAATTCAATAATTAAGGCAAGATGTTGTTTTAACACATTAATACCAGCATTATCAGTTAGAAAAATTTTAATGTCTTCTTACAAAGTACTACAAAGCACTAACTAATACATAAAAGTACAAGGAAGAAAACACAAAAGAAAAACAAAACCACACAGAAAAAATAATCAGCCATAATATTTTCTTTATTCACTATTTAATAAGTTATTTGCACAGTACTATTCTATTCAGCACATAATAATCACCGACAGTCTTAAATGTAGGAAATTTATAAGATGATCTCCAAGAAGTTGGCCATAGATATTCTAAATATCTTTTCTTTAAAACCCTGCAAAGTTTTTTTTTTTTTTTTTTTTTTTTTTTAAGCAATGTGATAAATCAGTATGCTTCTAATCTGGAAGTAAATTTCAGAGGTAGTGACGGGTTGAATTTTTACAAATATTTTCATCAATGTGTATTTAGTTCCAAGTAAGAGTTATCACAAAATGAACATATAAAAATAGACAATATAGAAGTGTTTTTAGGATGAAATCTAAATTTCAGAACCACCTCTATTTTAACTATATTATTAAAAAAATCTGTTCTACTCTGCTAGGAGACAATAAAACAATTATTTCTAGCACTCAAAAGTATGCTTTATCTTTCCCTAAGGAAACAGAAATGTTTATTTTCAGATGTCAACTTCTTAAACAGGTGACAAATATTTATGATATTAAAAATAGTAACATTTAGGTAAAGCTCATACCTGTACCATGGATAAATAAAGTTTTCCAGCACCAACTCAAGCACCTGTGCAGAACAAAGACAAACAACCACGTTACAAAATAAACAGTTTACTACAAATCCCTGTTAGAAAGTTAACATCACAAACACCCTCCAAGACTCATAGGACATAATTTATACATGATAAAACATAAAAATGTCTAAGTTGTGACCCTGTTGCTAGATCAACCATTTTGCATTGTAATCAATACTTTCGGCAAATAACAAGTGATGGTTTCATCAGGTATCAACAAGAAATCTGCCACAACTACTATCAGTAACATGAAGCACAGTGCCATGGCCACTACCAGGCAAATGCTACAGAAAATGTAATCTTACCTTAAACAGCCCATCCCTAGATTTTCAGATCAGAACCTGTTCTTTTCTGATGCAGCATGGAGCATCCCATAGACACAGTTACATACTACACTTACACACACTTCCATCCTTTTTCACCCAAACCTCCACCTTCAAGGTGGGACAGTCATTCCTGTATGCTCACTACTCTCAAAGAAAGCAAAAGAACAGTCATAAATAGCAATTCCTATGAAAGCCAGCCGTAACAAGGAAGGAGACAAAAGGATGAAGTTTTCTTAAGATTCCTCTTTCTTCACTATAGCCCCAAGATATCACCCACACTACCTTCTCCCACTGCAACCTATCCCTTAATTTGAATCAGTGTTTTAGAGATCAGTTTATCCAAAACAGCATCAATGCTGATGAGGAGAGTAAGAGAGAATATATGTGTTGCTATGTGAGGCTGCTCACCACATTCTGCTGAACGAAAGGTTTTCCAAAGCCACTGTGTACAAATAAAAAAGTGAAGCCTGTTAGAAAGGAAAGCTGAATGTAACAGCTGATACACAAGTGTCATTCATGAGAGTAAGTGCTATTCTTCCTACAAGTTCTGCTGCTACACTCATTTACACAGTATGCACTGCAAGAATTCAAGACATACTAAATTTATACTATCTTTAGGGTATTACATGCTTCTGCTTCTCTCATGATTATAAAAGCATACTCAACAAAAAACACACATAGCCTTTTTAATTCTTCTCAACCCTTCAGAGGTGAGCAACTCATGAATACTCTTTTTCTGTCTTCACTAGTAAGAATATCACCTACTTAGATTGGATAAGCTACTTTCTCTTTTCCAGCTGTTCCACTTCAGTGATTTTCTTCCCCTCTCTCTGAAGAGATGTTTTGCAGCTTGGGATAACATTAGATGTCTGTGTTATGGACCACACAAAGTCATCAGTGTCTTTTCTCCTACCCTTATGTGCTACAGTAGTAATAGATCTCAAAACTGTAATACCATCATGTGCTAATGATGGATGGGTAAGCTAAATGTTTTATCATGTTGTCCTGTGTCATCCCCACCTCCCATCTCATATTTCTATTTATAAGCAGGGTGGAAGGGTGAAGGAAATGACAACAGATGCTTCAATTCCCAGTCTAGAATAGACTAAGAAATCCCAGAGAACCTTCTATGAAAGTTAATCTTCAGACAATAGAAAGGAGTCCTCATCCAGCTCCAGTCAGCAATCACAAGCCATTGGCCTTAAAAGCAGTATATTAGACTACTTAAACCAATTTCCCTGATAGCTTCCATAGCACTACATGAGCCACCAATTAACTCCACAGAAATTTCAGTCTCGCAAGTATTGTGACACTATTTTTCTTCATGCGGAGTTCCTAACAAAATAAACCTTTTTCAAGGTTCAAAGTGCACTCTTCAGAAGTGCCTTACAGAATGCTTGCAAAAAAATCCATCTGTCTATTAAAGGAGCCCTTTTCCTTCTTCCTCCACTTTTCCTCTGTGCCTCCCCATCAGGAGCAACAGCAGCAGAGCATCTTCTGTTTGGAGTGGAAAGTGCACTTGCAGAGCCTTCAAGCATGGAACAGTACATTCAAAGGGATACAATGAACTCCTCTTGAAACAGCTTTTTCATTTATGACTACTTTTGAACTGAGAGCCTGTCTATCAAGCCTTCCATAAATGTGCCACTACAAATTCAGTTCATCAGATGCTAACGTAACTTTTTGGCCTTCACTTTCTCTGTAGTCCTATAGAGGCCTCTGAAGGCACTAGTAGAAGAATTGTTTCCAACACGGAGAGATCTGATCCTTACTGCTGCCTCAGCGAAACATGCTTCTGAGATTCATCTTCTCATGGTTATTAAATAAGCAAGGAAAGTAAAAAAAGGTGCAAGACCTGATGACCCTTCCCACTCAAAAGTGGAAGACAAAGACTCCTTCAGATTCATCCCATGTTGTAGTAACTGAGTGCCAGCTGAACCATTTTGCAGACTTGCCAGTGTTTCTCTTCCACAGTCACACTGTAAGAGCAAGCTTTATTGTACTGCTTCCACAGAACACTGCAATCTCACTAGGCAAAGACACAGAGACAGCATGCACAGAGACAGACAACTAACTCAAAATGCACTTTTCACTGGAGTCCACTTATCGTTGGTCAAGATATCAGAAGGCGAGACAAGTTTTGCTAGGACTCAGGTTACCTATATGACCCTAATAAAAAATGTGTGGACACAGAAAGCAGCCCCTACTTGCAAATTAATTAAACACATGGCATGGCAGAGGCAGTTAAGTATGATGCTCCATTCCACTAAGATGCTGTACAGAAGTTAAAGCAGAGCTACTGTGCAAAATCATCCCTACTGCAAAAATCAAAGCACTCCAGAAGTAATAAGCCATTGACTGGCACTAACTGGATTTCAAGGCATGCAGTCCATACTGTTTTTCCAAGCCTATCAGCATTCCAGGCTGTGTCAGTGCGATTCTGCTGGACAGAAAAAAAATTGCCACATCATCCACTGCATTTTCATGAAGCACTGGGGAAGCAGGACATGTGTACCCACTTCCATTCTACCAACAATGAAAATATAATTCAGGCTCAATTGCTCACACTTCACACATGCCAATGAAGTAGATGGAACATCACAAAAAATGACAGCTAATGATAAGCCATTTCCTTGTCTGTAAAGTATTATTCTCCAGTTTTAAATACAAATGATGAGTAATTTCATTTAAAATCTACCTATTTTTTCAAGCATTTTGCAAAATGTCTGGTTTTACTATGTGTGGGCAGCTTGAAACTGGAAAGAGATTACAACTGTAAAGCCAAATGCAGCAGGTAGCAATATAAGCAGCAGCTGAATTAAAAAAAAAAAAAAAAAAAAAAAAAAAAAAAAAAA